ATGAATGGCGCAATTAAAATTAACTTTGCTATTAATCCACAGCTGGGTGAGAGCATGGTTGGTTGAGATATCATTTCCCACTCACTGATGCCAGCCTTAACCGGGAATTGACCTGAGAAGACGCTAGGTTCGTTGGATTGTGAGCCACTGCGTCACGCATGAGATGAACATGACACGCGCACTAAAAATAGCCAAGTTGGACAAGAGACGGTGTACTGCAACAAACACCAAGATGTATAAAACGGTAGGCCCTGTGAAGATGTCACGTAAAAGGCAGCATTGGCTCGAGCAGGCCTGACTGGTGATGAGACTATTGAGTATGGAAATCGGTCAACAGTTTGCCCGTCTTGAATCAACGCTGCTGAAATTATGCGCTGGGGAAAATGTTCCGCTCCAAATCGCGCGTGGGTGTGCTGACACCCGCGCTCACTGCTACCGGTGTTTGAGCGCCATCTAGTGACGAGTGCTATCGGTTAGTTTTCATCTCTTGCGGTGGAAATTCCACGTTCCTGTGGCGGGGGCCAGTCCGCACATAGGTTTGAGCACTGTTGATGTCCCACAAAGCGACACTGTTTTGTTCTCTCCACATTGAAAGGGCGAGGAGCAAGAGAAGCATGAATTGCATTCAGTAACAACGGGAGAGGCCGCGACACCTTGATTTAGAGACCAAATATTAAATCAGAAACGTCATTGACCGCCGACAAACGTTCGCGAGCTTTGACGGGACCCATCTTCGCTCAAGGATCAAAAGGATGTCGGCCCATAGATGAGACTAGCAACGGAATGGGAGCCAAAGGAGGAACAGCAGTGACGGATCCGCACCCCGCTCCGTATTGATGTTGTTACTGTATGTTGAAAAACGCGCTGCGTGTTTTTATTATTATTTCTAAGTACCTAGATACGCCTCTCAGATAGGGTATCGACATCTCCTCCGTAAACTGAGCCTAAAATGAACACCTCGTGCGGTTAGTAGCGGGGAGACAAACGCTTCGAAGCTGGTGGTGCGTGATGCTGGCCACACCAGAATATGCCACGATTGCGAGGAGATGTAACCTCCCTCGCCCGGTACGCAAGAGGTTCGTGGGCTCGATCCCGGATCCTGACGACGCCTGCTGATATTGATTTGGAGTGCGCGTGTTCTTTCTCCCCCGTGGTGGTCGCGTGCATCGTTCTCCGGCTTCCTTCGGCTATGCCCCCCCCCCCTCTCTACACTGACAAACGTGCGCTCAGATGATTTGGCCGCTACTTGTGATGATGATGATGATGATCTCAGCCACTTCGATGATGAGCTATCAAGTGTGGCCAAGGTCACCTCTGAAAAACAAAAGGGCTCATAGCTGCAATGGGCTTTACCTGGGTCGGATGAACTTTTGCATGTCTATAACTATTATAGGATGAGTCCTGACACACGTTGTACCGCGAAATATCAAATGTACACGAGATTAATCTCAAGCTTAAGATGTCAAAATGCGCTCGTATCTTCTTGTTTTGACGTGCTATGCAGAAGTGCCATTGTCCAAAAGCGTCGCATATTATACATATTTTCCATTTTAAAGCCACACGCACGCTCGCGCAGTGATATTGACGAATGCGTGGGGCTGTCAATCAGTGCTTTGCGCACCACTGCCAATGCAGTGGCATCGCCCAATAAACACGCACAGTATACATCCGCTTGGTCTAAGCCGCGCTTGCCCCAGAACTGCACGGGGTGAATGTGGGTTCTGATTTGCCGCAAGGCGGCGCTCCAGAATCAATTGACCTGCAAAGCACTGCCACGGACTGTCACCTCCATCAGACCTCACAAAGATAGCGCTTGGATGGGTGACTACCACTACCACCACCGCCAAGCATAACAGATGCTATAGGCTGCTGCGGGGCTGCGTTGTTAATATTTGCGTTGTGAGCAAATATTAACGTTGAACTTATGTCGCACCGTGCGTAGCCAACCGTACTAGAGAGGGCAGTCTAGCAAACCCCATCGGTGAACTAAAATTTGTCAACTCGATAATACTACAGGTGTTACCGATGCATCGACTCATCAATGAACACTTATGTTTTAGTCCACGATACGAAGATTAAAGTAAGCGTGTAAGAAACAGTTTTTTTTTATAAATGTGTATCATGTTATACATAATGGGTTCATGTCATCCCTGCAGCCACTATAGGCTGCAACGTTCACTCGCATGCTAAGGAAATTATTATTATTAAATAGAATGTTTAATTGTGACAACGTTCGGTGTTCACTTTTACTCCTCTATTGTTATAATAATAATTTTATATATTCTTTGGTTCTTTCTATAAGTTTATGCCTGACAAATATTGCACTCGGAAATATTATCAAATTGACACGAGATTAATCTCAAGCTTAAGATGTCAACACTTCTCAAATTGTTTTTATTCAAAGTTCACTCAGAAAAGACTCACTGAATCTCAAGATTCTTTGAGATTCACTGAATTTTTAAGATTCTTTGAGATTCAGTGAATCTCAAGATTTTTCCCAGTAGGGGGAACTAATCGCGGCCTATATTCCAATGAAATAATATGCGGGTATATTTTTTCCAAATGTAGCCAATTTTGACCATGTATGTATGTTAAACTTCTTTCGCACCAAACGTAGCCAACCGGCACACAATGGCCTCCTCTTGCGACTGACGCCGCAGGATCTTTTAACGTCCACCGTGAAACAAACGGCGCGTAGTATCAGTGTGGTTAACGCAGCGGTAGTGTTAATCGTTCACTGTGATCTTTGGCTAATTAAATTCGGGAGTGATTTGCATGTCGGTCACAGGGGGTGGCCAACCTAGAAGAAACCAAGAGCACAACAGTCCCCGTGAGTTCTGCAAAGAGCCAAGTATATATATATAAGCGTATATTGTGATAGTTTTCGGCACAGCGTGGGAGATATTCATTATTGTGATAGTACGTTCTACCTTATGCCCCTTCGACGGAACCGCACGGGGTGGATTAAAGAGCTGCACGCGGCTCGGGGAGACACCAATTGACCGCCGCTGATGTGGGAGGAACCTGGAGTATCCAGGGAAAACTCAATACTACTTATAGGGCCATAACAATCCCGAGATCCACACGCATGAGTACGTGAACCCCCTTTGCTATGCCGTCATCTCCTGGCCACCTCGCGGCGCATTTGGTTTAGGAGTTTCACAAATCGGTGTGATCCACCGAGCCTCGTCTCCAAAGCGTTGGTTCAATCAAGGCGCACCACCGCGACTGACCGCGTCAGCTGTCGAAGGGATGGGCCCTCTATGGTCACGGCTATTTAAAACCTAAAAACTAAAGGTTTTTATTTTATTTTAGCAGGTAAGGCCCACTGAGCTGTATGGCTCTTTTTCAAAAGCGACGTGGATATCATAAATGATGTCCCAACGAAGTGGGTTATCACGTGGACATTTATAGCAGCCATATACTCTAAACTAATTATTCTGAATGTGAGGGGCAAAACCGGAGGACCCGGAGAAAAAAATCCACGCGACCATGGGGAGAGAGAGAGAGACACGCAAACACCAAATATACAGCAGGCATCAGGGTTGGGATCGAACCCACGACCTCCTGTATTCCAGGCGAGGTAGCTAACATCTCCTAGCCACCGTGGCGCCATGTTAACAACACCTCGCATCTCTGCATGACCCACCAACCCAACCTCCACGTCACTCCACTCGCATGACTCCCACTGCATCTGGATGCCGTCGTCCCGTCCGCTGTTGAGAACTCAACGCAGGGCGTTGGTCACAGTCTTGGCATTTTGTGAGCCCCTCTCCCTCCTCCTCCCCCCCAAAGAGATTGCTTTTTCAGTTTTAAACAGATAAGTATGTTACACTCGGGTGCGAAATTGGAAGTGAATTGGGACAGTGATGTGTGTGTGTGTGGCTGGGGCATGTTTGTTCTCAGTGGTGCAGGACACACTGAGGCCATTGAGGACATTCTCTACGAGGCAGGCGAAACGTGACTGCCCGTGAGCGCAAACACAGCTTGCGTGCCAATCATCGCTGGCACTTCCATCTATTTATTGCGGGTTGTGGCTGTGGAGGGCCTTGTGTGTGTGTGTGGTGAGTGAACGAAGCCGAGCGGCTCCATAAACGATCGCGTCCATGTCCGTTAACCCGTTCAGATTCATCGCAATTCTTTTGTCTTTGTCCCGCTCTCCTCCTTCACAGGAGGGAAGCAGAGGTGAATTTAGCAAACCTCCCAGGAGAATCGTCGTGGGGCGCTAACCTCACTTCTCGTAATTTCGGGCTTTGCTGGCTTTTGTAAAGTACGTTTTGATAAATGCAACACCAGAGCCTTTTTGGGTTTTAACGCTGAACGTACGGATAGCAAAATGTCCCAAAAAGCTAAGCAGTCAGCAATAGAACCGCACCATCAGCGTTGTACTATTTTATTTCTTTCCAGCTAAGGCTCACTGAGCGACATGGCCACAAATGATAGTTCAACGAAGTGGCTTATCGTCATGTGGTCATTTATAGGGGTAAAATACTCTTGAACGCACATTGATTCTAAATGTGGAGGGAAAAACCATGAGGACCCGGAGATAAATCCACGTGACCACGGGGAGGACACGCAAACTCCAAATATCAAGCAGGCGTCAGGGTCTGGATCAAACTCACAACCTCGTGTATACCAGGCGAAGTAGTTAACATCTCGCCACCGGATAGGGAGCCATGTTTGACGATTACCACTTGTTCACAACCGCAGTGGCAAGTTGTTGTACCTAAATTTCAAAAACCCTACGGTGGCCCTCCCCTCGTTTGATTTAAGACTGAATTGTGTACCCCTTGCCGTGTGTGAACATCGCCGTCATTCTGGGGAGACATATGTGGTGAGGGACTTGTAAGGCCAACCTTGATAGGCGCCCCCAAACACAGTTTATCTCTGCAGTCTATAAGGATGAGTGGGCATCTTTATCTTACGAAAATTTATATAGTACCCGATAACTATAGGACATACCGTATATCGCACAGTAAATATATATTTTTAAAACCATAAACCAAATTCATTCATTTTATTTAAATTAAACGCAGCGACAATAACTTTCACATTACAAGTCAATATTGCAATTCGAAACACATCTTACAGCTTTAATGTGTGTGTCTGTTGGTGTGGTGACTACCGCTCAGACTATTCGAAACAACAACAATAACAAAGTCATTTTAGAAACCATTTACAAAATATATTCTTCTTTAAAAAAAAGAGAGACGTATTTGCACAGATTGTGAACGCACACCTCTTGGGGAGTGGAGTGTGGCATCATTCCTCTCGCCGGTTGCACGAGCAATTATTACAATAAACAAACTGGAACTATTAAATCAGCAGCAGTGCCTCGCCAGGGTCCAAGAGTTCTCAGTGAGAATCCTGTACCCGACGTTAGGGCAATCGTGTGTCGCTGTTTCGCATTACCACCGTCAGACAACCTGTCATCCAACATTACGAACACATTTGCGGTGTGTCTTAAGATTACACCATCACTTAGCATACACCAAATTAGGATTATTTTTAAGATCAAACTTCGTACAATTTGCAAATGGTAAAACAAAAAAAAATACCCAAAAACAAATTCAATTGGAAAATGAGAACTTTGGTGACAGTACATCCGTGGACAGCAGCAGCAGCGGCAGCAAGGGTTGTTGATAAGTCGCGACACAATGCCACGATGCTCTCTGAGCGTCGTGATAGTCGATCATTTCTAAGATGAAATCAAATAATAATTACGAACAAAAATACTAATGCCCATTATCCAGGAAATCAATTTGGAGTCTTCAGATTCACTTTCAAGAGGGCGCTGCTGCATTGCGAAGTTTGGTCAATTCCGCTGAACGAGCATTGACGCCTACTGCTGTATATTTTGAGTTTGCGCGTCTCTCTCCCCGTGGTCGCGTGGATTTTTCTCTGGGCCCTTCGAATTTCCCCTCCACATTCAGAAATCAGCGTGCGTTCGGAGTTTTTGGCTGCGATAGATTCCGACGCGATGATAAGCCGCTGCGTTGAGCCATCATTTGTGATGGCGAGGTCGCTGCTGACAAAAAGAGCTACATAGTTCAGTGGGACCTTACCTGGTAAAAAACAAATAAACAAAATATTTTTGGCTTCACGTGGAAAGGAAACCGGAGAAGACAGGAGAAACCCCAGGCGCACGAGGAGGTTGACTGCACTTAAAAATACTGCACAGTCATGGTAAATAATCCACGACTTGTCATGTACCCTCATTGGCCACCCCAAATCAACCCTGACATGTGTTAATTTTTAAATAAATTATTTATAACGGTAATCAGGCAATCAGGTGACATTGCAGCACTGTGGAAACATGCGAAAACACATGATGTTTGTTGCGTAAACTTGTAAGGCGTGGTTCTGATCCGTAATCTAATATGGCCGAGTGGCACCTCCGTCTGGCAGGACGTTGTGAGTTTGAAATCCCTGGTGTGGTGACACATGAGCCCATCACCCCTTAGGGGTCGATAAAATGAGCACCGTTATTTTTCTGAAAACCTGTCCTATGGAGAGACTGGCTCCCACCCCCAAGGGAATGTGGAATTTCTCGCACTGGCTCAGAGCCACCGATGGAAAAACGAAGGCCACCCCCATCGCTCACCCGAGGCAGGGTTACTCTCTCACGTAACACACATTTGTTCTAATACATATATATCAAATTAAGTACGACAACGTAGCATCGAACGTTTAATTTCAACTTCACCGTTAATCAATAGTTCGGCGGCTTAAAAAGAAAAAGTTTCATCGATCGACCAAAAAAATAAAATCCACCGCCAAATGCTGCCGGGTGTGAAATTCCCGCCACTGGCTCCGGACCGTCGACGGGAAGGCGCGGCGCAGCCACTCCCCGCAAAAGTGGAAACGCAACAACAGACGGTGACCAGGAGCCTCTGGCTCAAGCGCCAGAGCGGGTTAAGGCCCTGGTTGGCTCCTGTGCGGTCTAGGGCTCGCTCCTGGAGTCCAGTTGGCTGGGCGCGGCCAGCGTTGAGGCCTCTGGCCACAGTCTGGTCGATTCGCGTGACTATGGCCCGGGCAGGAGCAGGGCCGGAGTTTGCTCACGTGTCCCGCTCCCGGTGCTGCTGCTGCTGCTGAGATCTGGCATGCCTGGTTTGCTTTGGCCTGAGGGCAGGCCGAGTGTTTGTTCCGCTCGTGCGGTTGGGGAGAGTGGCCCACCCCCACCCCCCCCCCCCAACACCCCCGGTTGGGCCGTGCGCTGCTCCTCGTCCGCGATCGCCCACTCGGCCCCTTTTGCCCCCTTCACCGCTCGCGTTCACGGCGCCGCCTCGCCGCTCCCTCGGGCGGAACAACTCCGACGACTCCGGGCGACGATCGGAGGGCGCCCGCGACCTCATCTCCCCCCACCCCGCCGCGCCATCGCTCCGCTCCGCACGCCAGGGCCGCTACATCCCCTGTGTGGCCAGCATGGCCCAGGTGAAGGGGGCCGTCTGATCGTACAGCGAGTCTGCGGGGCCCGACGAGACGGGGATGACGGCGGAGCAGGAGGAGAGGGGGTGGCCGGTCCCCGCCAGCTCGGAGCCGTGGTGGTGGTGGTGGTGGTGGCCGACGCTGTCGTAGGGCGACACGGCAGGGGGGCCCCCTCCGTGGCTCGACCCGTACGGGGACGAGGACGAGGAGGCGCCGCCGCCGCCGCCGCGGAAGAACGGCACGGGGAGGCCTGCGGTGGGGCCGGACTGCTGCTGCTGCTGCTGTGCCGGGGAGAGGCTGCTGTTGCTCACGGACCACAGGCTGGGGTACTGGCTGCACGGGGGGTGGGTGCACGCACAGGGAGGGGCGGGGGGGAGAGACGCAAGGTGTCAGCACACTGAGATCATCATCATCATCGGCAGCAGCAGTCGTGATGAATCCGATTCTGGACGAAGGCCTCGGCCAAGTCGTGGCCATTCACCACCGTCGTGTGATGGCAGTCATTTGTCTGGCACGTCGGCACACGGTGATTGGTGAGTGTGGCATTGGGGTGAGGAATAAGAGAGAGAGAGAGGTGAGCGAACATCGATTCAAGTTCGCAGACACCAAAGGTATGAACATGACAGCCTTTCCAAAATAAATATGTACATGGAGTCTATAGATCAACGTGGTAGAGGAGTCCAAATGTTAATACTGAATACTAGATTGACTTCATTGCCATCGAGAAGCCCTGCACTGTCAGAGTCGTCTCTCTGTCCTCAAGCAAACCGACCGCAGGAAGCGAACAGACAGCGCTGCGAGATGAGTTGCACTTCGACACAGCCAGAGACAGAGAGAGACGGGAAAAGGAATTGCAGCCAATTTCAGACGAACTCTGTGCTACGGGTTCGAATGCCGAGAGGAGCAATATAGTGAAGAACGCACAGAGATGGAGAGAAATTCAAGCGTAGAGAGAATCATGGTTTACGGTATTACAGTGGTGTTGATGGTGGCAGTGATGGTGGTGGTGTTAGTGTGAGTTACATATTTCAGTCGACCCGTGGCACCTGGGTCTGCCCCGTGACCTCCTGCCAGCGGGCGTTCGACACTTCACGTGGCCTCGGGGTGCACATAGCCTGGCACAAGCGTCGTGGTGACGTCACCGCCACTTAGTGGCGAATGGCGGTTGTTGTTGTTAGTGTGGGGAGCGGTGGTGTAGCCGCTACGAACCCGACAACCCGCGTTCGATTCCTGCTCATGGCCAGCACCAGTGACGGTAATCTGAATCGGTTTTAGGCATCTCCTAGGTCGACTCAGCCTCAAATGAGTACCTGGTGCGGTGTGTAAACATCACCAATGGGGAAACAAAGGCGGTCGGGCGTGGTGCTGGCCACTCACCCTCTCGTGTGCCGTGCCGGCCTTCATAGGTGCTCGCTAACAGCACTTACCCCTACAGCCTGCTACAGGCTACACGGGGGATCTTTGTCTTTTGGTGGTGGCGGTGCTGCTGACGTTAGCAGTGCTGGTGGTGATGACTGTGGTGACTGTGGTGGTGGTAACTGTGGTGGTGGTGACTGTGGTGGTGGTGACTGTGGTGGTGGTGACTGTGGTGGTGGTGGTGACTGTGGTGGTGGTGACTGTGGTGGTGACTGTGGTGATGACTGTGGTGGCGGTGACCGTGGTGGTGGTGACCGTGGTGGTGGTGACTGTGGTGGTGGTGACTGTGGTGGTGACTGTGGTGGTGGTGGTGACTGTGGTGGTGGTGGTGACCGTGGTGGTGGTGGTGACTGTGGTGGTGACGGTGACTGTGGTGGTGATGGTGACTGTGGTGGTGACTGTGGTGGTGGTGACTGTGGTGGTGACTGTGGTGGTGGTGGTGACTGTGGTGGTGACTGTGGTGGTGGTGACCGTGGTGGTGATGACTGTGGTGGTGACTGTGGTGGTGACTGTGGTGGTGGTGACTGTGGTGGTGGTGACTGTGATGGTGGTGACCGTGGTGGTGGTGACCGTGGTGGTGGTGGTGACTGTGGTGGTGAGTGTGGTCGTGGTGACTGTGGTGGTGACTGTGGTGGTGGTGACTGTGGTGGTGGTGACTGTGGTGGTGACCGTGGTGGTGGTGACCGTGGTGGTGGTGATGGCGGTAGCACTGCTGCTGGTGATGACTGCGGTGGTGATGACTGTGGTGGTGACCGTGGTGGTGGTGACCGTGGTGGTGGTGATGGCGGTAGCACTGCGGCTGGTGATGACTGCGGTGGTGATGACTGTGGTGGTGGTGATGGTGGTGGTAGCGGTAGCACTGCTAGTGCCGCTGCTGCTGCTGCTGGTGGTGGTGTGGGCTGGCGCTGCGTACCCGTGCGAGTGCGCGATGGCGTTGGGCGCCTGCAGGCCGGCCCAGCTCTCATCCTCGCCAAGCATTGCGGAGCCGTGGTGCAGTGCTGGTGGTGAGAGAACACGTGCACACACACTTACACGTGCACACACACTTACACGTGCACACACACTTACACGTGCACACACACACTTACATTTACACGTGCACACACACTTACACGTGCACACACACACTTACACGTGCACACACACTTACACTTACACGTGCACACTTACACTTACACGTGCACACACTTACACGTGCACACACACTTACACGTGCACACACACACTTACACGTGCACACTTACACTTACACGTGCACACACTTACACGTGCACACACACACTTACACGTGCACACACACTTACACGTGCACACACACACTTACACGTGCACACACACTTACACTTACACGTGCACACTTACACTTACACGTGCACACACTTACACGTGCACACACACTTACACGTGCACACACACACTTACACGTGCACACTTACACTTACACGTGCACACACTTACACGTGCACACACACACTTACACGTGCACACACACTTACACGTGCACACACACACTTACATTTACACGTGCACACACACTTACACGTGCACACACACACTTACACGTGCACACACACTTACACGTGCACACTTACACTTACATTTACACGTGCACACACACTTACACGTGCACACACACTTACACGTGCACACACACACTTACACGTGCACACACACTTACACGTGCACACACACACTTACACGTGCACACACACATTTACACGTGCACACACACACTTACACGTGCACACACACACTTACACGTGCACACACACACTTACACGTGCACACACACACACGTGCACACACACACTTACACGTGCACACACACACACGTGCACACACACACTTACACGTGCACACACACTTATATTTACACGTGCACACACACACATTTACACGTGCACACACACACTTACACGTGCACACACACACTTACACGTGCACACACATTTACACGTGCACACACACTTACACGTGCACACACACACATTTACACGTGCACACACACACACACTTACAACGTGCACACACACACACGTGCACACACACACACTTACACGAGCACACACACACACTTACACGTGCACACACACTTACAACCAGACCCCGCACACACTCCTATGCACAAGCTCTGGGTATTATACCTATATAATTAATGGACTAATAGATTTTTCATTTAAAGCTTTCGTGACTGCAGGGATTCATATTTTTGGTTCTTTCGGTAAAGTCACGTGACTTTACTGAAAGAACCAAGAATATGATTAATAGATTGTTTTACGTATTATAGATATGAACAATAAGCAGCAATAACGACATCACTTGCAGCCATTTTACAAACCACTGCTGAACTAAGTCCTCCCTGTGTTGGTCATGGGGGCTTGTTTGACCATACTCAACCATGCTGGGTCGAGTGCGGGTGAGCGAGGGGAAGCCCACGACCGGTTCGGTACCCACACTTCGCCCCACCACACAGCCGACCCCTTCCTGACGACTCACTATGCGGTGTACCCAAATGTATGCTGCCGGGTGGCAAAAGAGCCGGGAGGTGGGATTGAAACCGGCGACCTCGGGATTGCAAGCCCAGTACACTGGCCGTTAACACCGCGGCAGCTGCCTGCGTAGGGCTGAACGATTAATCGATTTGAAATCGGTTAATCGCAATTTGAAACAATTCCATTAGCAAATCGCATTGTTTCAAAATTGCGATTTCAAATTGGTTAATCGCAATTTGAAACAATGCGATTAGCAAATCGCAAATGGCTGCGACTTTTTGCGATGTGAAAAGCCCTATTACTTTCTTGTTGGAATTGTTTCATTGTTTTTATTATGATACGTTTATTTATTTCACTTAACAATTGTTCTATGTTTGATTGTTCTATTTCAATTAAAACATTTCAATAAATACATGTTGGAAGCAATTCATATCTTTCAAGTTCTCATCCTGCATTAGAATATATAGAGCATATTATTGGATCTTTCGATAAAGTCACGTAGGTAGGTTTCAAAGAAAATAACAAAACACTACGGCGTTTCTATCGCAACACAAGCGGTCGTCTTCAGGAAAAGGGGGGTTAGCTTCCAAGGCAAACTGTTTATAAGGGGTTTGAAATGGGCGTGGCCTAAATGTCAGCAGCCAATGAGAATGTAAGTGGTGGGCAGCCAACCCGACGGTGGTTGGTTTTCCACCAATCAAAGGGCTGCCAGGTGAAAATTAGCATGTTAAAGAGAGATTAGCATGACTTAAAGCTTTCGTGACTGCAGGAATTCATACTCTTTGGGTCTCTCGGTAAAGTCACGTAGATATAAAAGAGACCAGATGGCTCATTGGGACACTGTCTACAGGAAAGCCACCCACACGAATGCCTATCTAAAACCTGACTCCCACCACCATCCAGCCCAGAAGAATTCCCTCATCAAATCTCTACACCATAGGGCTCGTTGCATTTCCGACCATCATCACCCAGCCAGTGAACTGAAGGACGTACATCAAGCCCTCAAGATGAATGGATCTATCACCCCAACCGCTGGAAGAGAACCATCTGAGAACCCAATCAAAACCATCACCTTGCCATACATAGCCAAGACGAAGGTACTCTGCAAACCTACTGGCTATCAACAAAGATTCGTTCATGAAGCCATCCAGATATATAAACACGGACACAATTTCAACCGAGAAGATGGGTACAAACTGAGTAATCATTGGAAGGACGTTATTAACCAGTTTAAGTCATAACTGGCTGCGATGTTTCCATCCTACCTGCCGATGTTAGCAGTTATTTCCGACTCTCCGAGTTGCATTCCTCGATGTGGCGGTGGCTACATTGACACGCTTCTAATCTCTCACGATACAATGGCCAGCCAAACAGCTTTGGGGTGCCCTCGATCTTCCTTCTCTAACCCCGCCCACCTACCATTGGGCTGCACCCATGTCAGGCCTATATAACACCCTGCTGCTTCAGCAGCTCTCTTGCTATATATTTTTTCACCTGAGGACGATTGCTTGTGTTGCGATTGAAACGTCGTGATTTTTTAAAATTATTTTCTATCTACGTGACTTTACCGAAAGACCCAAAGTGTAGAGAGATTAGCACGTTAATGGAATGTCGCAGGGCCGCAACTAAGGGGTTGGCGCGCCAAGTGACTGTGCGAGTGTGAACCGAGTGAAAGCGCAAGTTTGAAATGGGAGTACTCATGATTTTGGAAAACTTTTTTGTGACCCCTGCTATGTATGGCAAGGTGATGGTTTTGATTGGGTCCTCAGATGGTTCTTCCCCAACGGTTGGTGTGATAGCTTTACGGAGTGTGTAGTCTGAATATCCATTCATCTTGAGAGTTCGGTGTACGTGTTCCAGTTCACTGGCTAGGTGATGATGGTCGGAAATACATTGAGCTCTGCGACCTTCCATTAACATGCTAATCTCTCTTTAACATGCTCATTTTCACCTGGCAGCCCTTTGATTGGTGGAAAACTAATCACCTTCGGGTTGGCTGCCCACCACTTACATTCTCATTGGCTGCTGACATTTGGGATACGCCCATTTAAAACCCCTTATAAACAGTTTGCCTTGGAAGCTAACCCCCTTTTCCTGAAGACGACCGCTTGTGTTGCGATTAAAACGTCGTATTTTTTTGTTATTTTTTGTTATTTTCTTTGAACCTATCTACGTGACTTTACCAAAAGATCCAAGAATATGAATTCCTGCAGTCACGAAAGCTTTAAGTCAAGATATATAGAGCAGTTCATATGTTGATGGTATCATGTGGTAATGCTCCAACACATGTTTTAAATCTATTACACAGTGAATATTGAACTGAAGCTTGACTTTAAAAAAATAATCGCATATCAAATCGCAATATCTGAAAGAAAAATCGCAATTCGATATTTTCTCCAAATCGTTCAGCCCTATCAGCTTACGTTTCTCAGCAGACGCAACGTTTCAATCCACTCCAAAGATCTTAACCTCTCGCTCAGCGAACAGAATGCAAACGGCCGTACTGCGCATCATTCGTAGTGCGACAGATTCTCGTGAGAGGCAACTCGGACAGGTTTTTGCTAACTGTGTACGGCAGAAAAAGCGAAACTCTAAAAACGAGAAAATAATTTTTAAAAGGGCCAGGGAAGGCAGGGGTTCCAATTGTTGGCACCAGCTCACCGCTCGGCAGCCTTCCAGCTTGTCGCCGGTTCCTCGGTGAGACGCAAATTTTTTAGGTCGCACTCATTACACACAAAGTGCTTGCCATGAATGGACCACAATACATCGCTGATCTCGAAAAGGAGCATGAACCAACACGCCAATGCAGGTCATCCTCGCAGCAGTGGCTTTTGGCTAACGATCGAACAAAGACGGTGGGCACCCCATTGCACGCTTTCGGATGCGCTTCTGCAGACGTCTGGAACACTCTTCCCTCCGATATTAGGAAGCCACTGGAGCTATGCACTTCTAAATCATCTAGATTGAAAACTTATTTATTTAGAACTGCTTTTTGTGTTGAGATTGCTGTCCTTCCCCCGCACATCCGATTAGCATGGCTGGCTACATACGGTGCGAAAGAAGATCCACATGCATACGTACAATTTGAACGAATGATGATTAATTATAATCAGGAGAAAGAAGAGACTCGAAACACCGTGAAAGAGAGAGAGAGGGAGGTCGAGCGGGGTGGGTGTTTCCGTGCTGAGTTGGCACGGTAACCGAGACAGAGGGAGGCGTTACCGTGCTACGTTGGCACCGTAACCAAGAGAGAGAGGGAGGGAGTCGTTACCGTGCTGCATTGGCATGGTAACTGAGAGGTAAGCGGAGGCGTTCCGTGTTGCGTTGGCACGATAACAGAGAGAGAGAGGGAGGGAGGTGTTACCGTGCTGCGTTGGCACGGTAACAGAGAGAGAGAGTGAGGGAGGTGTTACCGTGCTGCGTTGGCACGGTAACAGAGAGAGAGGGAGGGAGGTGTTACCGTGCTGCGTTGGCATGGTAACAGAGAGAGGGAGGTGTTACCGTGCTGGGTTGGCATGGTAACAGAGAGAGAGAGGTGTTACCGTTCTGAGTTGGCATTGTAACAGAGAGAGGGAGGGAGGTGTTACCATGCTGCGTTGGCACGGTAACAGAGAGAGAGGGAGGGAGGTGTTACCGTGCTGGGTTGGCATGGTGAGAGAGAGAGGGAGGTGTTACCGTGCTGGTTTGGCATGGTAACAGAGAGAGAGAGAGGGAGGTGTTACCGTGCTGGGTTGGCATGGTAACAGAGAGAGAGAGAGAGGGAGGTGTTACCGTGCTGGGTTGGCATGGTAACAGAGAGAGAGTGAGGGAGGTGTTACCGTGCTGGGTTGGCATGGTAACAGAGAGAGAGAGTGAGGGAGGTGTTACCGTGCTGCGTTGGCACGGTAACGGAGAGAGGGAGAGTGACGGAGGTGTTGCCGTGCTGCGTTGGCACGGTAACAGAGAGAGAGGGAGGGAGGTGTTACCGTGCTGTGTTGGCACGCGGCTGGGGTACGGCGCCACGCGGTGGGAGTGCAGGCCGGAGAGACGCTCGCAGCCCAGCGGCGTTGCGGTGCCCTGGGCCAGCGACATCGGCTGTGGCTGAGGCTTCCCCATCCACCAGCCGTGGCTCGCTGCACAAACAATGGACAAACGGAATTGGTGGAGGCGCGGTTCGGACATTCGGATGCCATGCCCCCGAAACCGCCACCACGCTCGCGGCACGCGCGTCGTTGAATCGCGAGCGTCACAACACGATATCTCTCTCTCTCTAAACGTGCGTATAGAGGTCGTTTGCAGTCCCACCCGCTGTAATGTCATAGCGATAAAGGCGCAGCCCTGCATGTTGCCTGCTCAAGTCACTGCTGGCAGAAGGGTCCTCCAACCGAAATATCGGGGCGCCGTGGTGGCGAGATGTTGACTACCTCGCCTGGTGTGCAGGAGGTCCTGGGTTCGATCCACGACCCTGACGCCTGCTGCTGCTGTATATTTGGAGTTTGAGTGTCTCTCTCTCTCTCACCGTGGTCGCGTTGATTTTTCTCCGGGGCCTCCGGTTTTTCCCTCCGCATTTAGAATCGACGTGCGTTTAAAGTGTTTGGCTGCTACACATTTCCACGCGTGATAAGCCACTTCGTTGAGCTATCATTCGTGATAAGCCACGTCGCTTCTGAAAAAGAAGCTATTAGCACAAGTGGGGCCTTACCTGGTCAAATAAAAATGTTTTTTTGCGTGTGATTTGCTTACCTTTCCTATACTTTGGACTCCTGTCGTCTTTTTGTGTTGTTTGTTGTTGTAACTGTCTGGCCTGCCCCTACTGGACATCTGTGACAAAGAGCTTTATAGCTCGTCGGATTTGTAGCGGCAAAAGCACCCTGAGCGGATGCCCCTGCGCTGCGTGGCAGTGTTCGGTCCTCATTAAAACTGACTGTCTTATGAAAGTCACTAAAGTTTAAGTGTGAAAGTAATTTTACTACTTAATTACCAATATTATTATCGGAGGTGCGGGGAAGTTATACATACGTACAAGTTTGTTCGTTTGTTTGATGTCGTCTGCAAAGAGCTTCTTATCTCTACGGGTTTTACTGGGTGGGAAATCAACTTCTGATTCTGGCTGTCGCTGCTGCTGCTACTGTCGAGAAGAAGAGATGTCGCTCACCGTGTGAGTACGGACTCTGTGGACAGTCGCTCACGTTCGAGTCCTTCATGGTGTGGCTTCTGGAAACGAGACGCACAAATTGTTTTGCCTGTTTTTAAAACAACGTGACGAGCTCGCGCCGAAATCGAGTCGCTGTCCGCACAGTTTCTATCCCCCCCCACCGGCACATTGAGCTGTAATAAAAAAACAAGTTAAAAAATTAAAAGCATTACGATTACCTACTCATACAAATGGTGCTGCATATGTAATATGGTGTCATGATAATAATAATAAACACATCATATTATTGGTTCTTTCGGTGAAGTCACGTAGAAGGGAAACAATAAAATAATAAAAATTATAAAACAATACAATTCTCACGACGTTTCGACTGTGAAGACCTGATGATGATTGCTTGTGTTGCAGTCAAAGCGTCGTGAGAATTTTATTGTTTTATATTTTTATTATTCTGTTTCCTTTGTACGTGCTTTACCGAAAGAACCAAGAATATGAATCCCTGCAGTCGCGAAAGCTTTAAATCAAAATAAACACATCATTTACAGCCTGTTCAACAATCCATTGCTGCAAGCGGTGACGGCGCGGTTGATTGACCGTACTTCACCACGACGGCGAACAGTGTGGGTTGGTGAACGGGAGGGAGGTTTCAGCAACCGGTTCTGAAATCACTTGCTACGAATGTTCGCGATGACCAAGGTCGCTGGGTTTCCAGTGCAATACGCGAACGTGTTCCACAGGACTGTAGGACCTGCCAGGTCTCAAGTTAAACATCTCCCTGCTCGGCCAGTGGTAGCAATTCCACTGTCATATGGCAGGAACCAGTCTATCCAGAGTACAGTTGCCCGTGGTATCTAAGTGAAAAAAACTAAGTGATTATCGACAACGATGCATTAGCCAGTATGAAGATAATAACAATGTGATATTTGCAAGTTCACATTACAGATAATGGCTCAGATTAACATCGCAATTCAAGGGCCCACCCTGCGGTGGTTGCAAGTATCCATTGTAAACATTGGTAGAAGTTAATTCTAGATTTGAAGTTTTCGTGACTGCAAGGATCCATACTCTTTGGTTCTTTCGGTAAAGTCTTTTAGGTGAAAATAAAATAAAATAAAAAATTGTTTTATTATTTTCACCTACGTGACTTTACTGAAAGAACCAAAGAGTATGGTAATCAACTAGAACAACCACAAAATATGAACAGTATTTATTTTTACCAGGTAAGGCCCACAGAGCGATAGCTCAACGACGCGGCTTGTCGTGGAAATTTATAGCAGCCAAATACTCTAAACGCTTGTTGATTCTCAATATGGAGGGAAATAACGGAAGACCCGGAGAAAAATCAACGCCACCACGGGGAGAGACAGAGAGAGCAATGCAAACTCCAAATATACTGCAGGCGTCAGGGTTCGGGTTGAACCCACGACCTCCTGTATACCAGGCGAGGTAGTTAACATCTCGCCACTGTGGCGTCCAGTGGACTAGAAGGTCCTCACTCTAATGTAAAGCATGCGCTCCCACGGTAACAAAAGTTCAAGGCGCAGCCCTGCAATTACCCGCTCGCACCATTCCTGGCAGAAGGGCCATCCACTGGAGGTCACTCCAGAGAGACCCCCCCCCCCCACTCGAGTGGGTACATTTGGCCTATCTTCCACGCTGGCCAGGCGCCTTGGACGTGGTGGGGAGTGCCCCGCGCTTGACCCGACCGCACGCAGCCTGCAGAGCAACGACAGCCGCGGCGTGGCGCTGAACCCATGCAGCGAAGACTCTGCTTGCGCGGGGATTCAAGGAGCGTGCTCCGTCGTTTCGAACGCCGCGCCGAGAGGTTGAACCTGGCCACCGCTGGATTGCGAGTCCGTCGCGGTGCCCATCCCGACAAGGCGGCAGCGTCGCGAGCCCCGGCGGGATGGCGGAGAACTCCAGCCGAGGGCTGACTCGGCCGAGGACGACGGTGCAGTGCGTGCGCCGCACGGATTCTTCAAACTCTCACCTTTCCTTCGCGTCCAGAATTCCCTTGGCGAATGGGTTGTGCAGGATTTTCAACGAAGTGACCTGAAACGCACGAGAAAGTCACCGTTCAAAGGGACACCTTTACGCGCCGAGGAACGAAACTCATCCCCTCGGGACCGCCGAACGTCATCGCGACGCGTGCCACACGCCCCACACCCCGTGTCTCCGTGCCTCGTGTCTCCATGCCCTGTGCCTCATGCCCTGTGTCACCATGCCCCGTGCCCCCATACACCCACACCCCGTATCTCCATGCCCCATGCCCCGTGCCCCATGCCCTGTGTCACCATGCCCCGTGCCCCCATACACCCACACCCCGTGCCCCGTGCCCCGTGCCCCCGTGCTGCCCACCTCCTCGTTCTGGTAGGCGGTGACGGCGATGAAGCGTGTCTCGGGGAACGCGTGGCTCGTGACGAGGCGTTGGGCGCCGCCGACGCGCACGATGTGGATGCGGGGCTGGTACTTGTGGAGCGAGTTGAGCATTATCTGAGCAGCAGCAGCGACGACGACGATGAGATTCACATAGACGACAAAGCCATCGACGCTGGTGATGCCATCGTCATTATCACCGACATCATGAGAACAACCAACTTCATCAATTACCCAACTTCGCCCTGAGCACTGACATCTTCATTGTCACCACATGATCATATGCACCATAATCCTCACCATCATCATTATGGCCAAAATAATCACCACCACAAGCATCACGATCACGTAATCTCCACCACCACCAGCACAGGCAGTAGCAGCGACAACAACCACATTCACACAGACTTTAAAATGTTGCCCGTTCAGCATGGCATTTACAGATTAAACATTGAAAATATTGCAACAAAACGTTTGGTTTTTGGATTAATTGCAAACTACCTGGGCGACTGGCTCAATGGGACTTTCCATGTGACAAATAAAACATTGATGTATTGATTGATATCGTTGTAATGGCGTGGTCATAAAATTGTATTGAAGAATTATGATTCATGTACAGGGGCCTCGGTTTAGGGAAGGCACCTGACAAAGCCATCAATACTTGTCGAGACACGAGTATGACAACGAGAGCAGTTGACTTTGCTTGACGAATGAATGAACAAATCAACACTCGTTCAACTGTTGTCGTGTCACTTGATTAATTGTGATGCCATCACCATTATCAACTGCTTCATTGTGGATCTGGCCAAACACCCCAATGTAAGACCACAGAGCTTGGGGGGAAATTGCTGCCAGCAGATCTGGCTGCCTGTCTCCCCAATTGTCTGTGGCTTCCTGAGCCCCCACGTGAAAGACTGTACGGGTGTTACTAAAGCCGCATCATTGTGAGATGCAATTCGCATGAATTACGGTTTTAAAACGTACCACCAGAGTCCACCATCGACACCATTAGCAATTTCACCGCCACCACCAATAGCAACACCACGAACACCATCACCACCAACAACGTTATGACCAGATCACCACCACCACACCATCAATAACATCACTATCAGCATCTACGTGAACTCCATCACCAACACCGCTGACATCATGACCCCTACCACATCACCACCATGCCACCACCACTACCACTACAGCATAGCCATCACCAGCATCATCAAGACCAGCACCACGAAAACATCACCACCACCAGCACCAAAGACAAAGCCCCACGTGTAGTCTTAACAGACTATTGGGGCAATTGATGTTTGCGAGCACCTATGAAGACCGGAACGGCACACGAGGGGACGGGTGGCCAGGACCACGCCTGGCCGCTTTCGTCTCTCTAGTGGCGATGTTTACACACCGCACCAGGTACTCATTTGAGGCTGAGTCGATTGATTTGTGTGACCAAGATGAGAGCCCATAGTCAAAGGGAGTCATATGACCAGGAGGCCCAAGACCGGTTCAGATAATCGTCACTGGTGTCGGCCATGAGCGGGAATCGAACTCGGGTTGCAGGATTTTTAACGCAGCGCACTATCCACTACACTACCGCTCACCACCAGCACCACCATAATCACCACCACCAGCAGCACCACCACGAGCGCCCACCTGCCCGCTGCCGTTCATCTTGTTGGAGAGCTTGACCTTGCAGAAGGAGACGGGCGCGCGCATCCAGTGCGCCCCGAAGTTGGGCGAGTCCGGGTGGATGTAGACGCAGCTGGGCGGCTGCGGCTCGGGCTTGCCGCCCGCCACCCACTCGCCGTTCACGTACTTCCAGCGGTGGGCGTCGGCGGCGCAGAAGTCCAGCAGCAGGGAGTACATGGCGTTCGGGTCGAGGCCCGACACGGACGCCTTGATCACGGGGAACATTCGCCTGCGCGCAGCACAGCGACGGGAGAGTCACTCGCAGCCAGGGCTCGGAGACAGAGTGAGTCATCTGGACAGATGACAGCTCATAGAGTGATTCATCTGGACAGATGAGAGTTCATAGGCAGAGTAAATCATCTGGCCAGATGAGAGTTCATAGACAGAGTGAATCATCTGACCAGATGAGAGCTCATAAAGTGGGTCATCTGGCCAGATGAGAGTTCATAGACAGAGTGGGTCATCTGGCCAGATGAGAGTTCATAGACAGAGTGGGTCATCTGGCCAGATGAGAGCTCATAGAGTGGTTCATCTGGCCAGATGAGAGTTCATAGGCAGAGTAAATCATCTGGCCAGATGAGAGCTCATAGAGTGGGCCACCTGGCCAGATGAGAGCTCATAGACAGAGTGGGTCATCTGGCGAGATGAGAGCTCATAGACAGAGTGGGTCATCTGGCCAGATGAGAGCTCATAGAGTGATTCATCTGGCCAGATGAGAGTTCATAGGCAGAGTGAATCATCTGACCAGATGAAAGTTCATAGACAGAGTGAATCATCTGACCAGATGAGAGTTCATAGACAGAGTGAATCATCTGACCAGATAAGAGCTCATAGAGTGGGTCATCTGGCCAGATGAGAGCTCATAGACAGAGTGGGTCATCTGGCCAGATGAGAGCTCATAGAGTGATTCATCTGGCCAGATGAAAGCTCATAGGCAGAGTGAATCATCTGACCAGATGAGTGCTCATAGATAGAGTGAATCATCTGACCAGATGAGACCTCATCTGGTCTCTGTCTATGAGATAAAAGCTCATAGAGGGAATGAATCATCTGACCGGGCAACATTCGCGCTGGCGGCAGCCCTGGTCCCCGCATTTTGGGGGGCCCTGCGCTTCGAGGTCACGGTGTCAGATGCAACACTTCCAGTTTAGTTTGAAGGCGTCAGGGGGCCCTAACCATTTACACCTGATATCAACCATCACACCTGACCATAACCATCACACCACAGCAACAACCACAATTATAGGTAGAGACCGCTTTGTACATGGTGCTCAAATTGTTATTAAACATATTATTAGCAGTAGTATTATTCTGGTTTTTTTCATCTACGAAAACCTCGCTGAGTCTCATGGACTCTTTTTAAAGAGGGTCCTGCCAGTGTTTTGCAGTAGAGGGTGGGGGGGGGGGAGGCAATGATTGCTAGGTGCAGTGCAGGCGTCCCTCGCATTGCGAGCCACGCAGTTACGCGATCCATCTTTTCGGGTCGTACTTCATCGCACTCACGCAATGGTCAAATTACATTTTTCTAGAGAAAAACGAATCCTTATTTTGTGATGGCGTCATGGCAGCGCCCAGCGTCACGGGCTGGGCGTAGCCATCCTAGATCTGCTGCCCTCAAGTTACTCCTCATTAAGTCGAGCAGAACCCCTCTTAACCAACACCCCTGGTAACGACTAATCGCTCAGCGACGGGCCTCCATAGAGGCCAATGTGTAGTGTATAGTAGTGTATAGTGTATAGTGCAGTGTATAGTGCAGTGTATAGTAGTGTATAGTGTAGTGTATAGTAGTGTATAAAAGTGTGGTGTATAGTAGTGTAGTCTATAATAGTGTAGTGTATAGTAGTGTAGTGTATAGTAGTGTAGTGTATAGTAGTGTTGTATTTAGTGTAGTGTATAGTAGCGTATATTGTAGTGTATAGTAGTATAGTGTATCATATGTAGTGTATAGTAATGTAATCTATAGTAGTGTATAGTAGTGTAGTGTATAGTAGTGTAGTGTATAGTAATGTAGCCTATAGTAGTGTAGTGTATAGTAGTGTAGTGTATAGTAATGTAGTGTATAGTGTATAGTAGTGTAGTGTATAGTGTAGTGTACAGTAGTGTAGTGTATAGTAGTGTATAGTAGTGTAGTGTATAGTGTAGTGTATAGTAGTGTAGTGTATAGTAGTGTATAGTGCAGTGTATAGTGTAGTGTATAGTAGTGTATAAAAGTGTGGTGTATAGTAGTGTAGTCTATAATAGTGTAGTGTATAGTAGTGTAGTGTATAGTAGTGTTGTATTTAGTGTAGTGTATAGTAGTGCATAGTAGTGTAGTGTATAGTAGTATAGTGTAGAGAAGTGTAATGTACAGTAGTGTAGTGTATAGTAGTGTAGTGTATAGTAGTGTATAGTAGTGTAGTGTATAGTAGCGTATATTGTAGTGTATAGTAGTGTAGTGTATAGTAGTGTAGTGTATAGTAGTGTAGTGTATAGTAATGTAGTGTATAGTGTAGTGTATAGTAGTGTAGTGTATAGTGTAGTGTACAGTAGTGTAATGTATAGTAGTGTAGTCCATAGTAGTGTAGTCTATAGTAGTGTAGTGTATAGTGTAGTGTATAGTAGTGTATAGTGTAGTGTATAGTAGTGTAGTGTATAGCAGTGTAGTGTATAGTAATGTAGGCTATAGTAGTGTATAGTAGTGTAGTGTATAGTAATGTAGCCTATAGTAGTGTAGTGTATAGTAGTGTAGTGTATAGTGCAGTGTATAGTAGTGTAGTGTATAGTGTAGTGTACAGTAGTGTAGTGTATAGTAGTGTAGTGTATAGTAGTGTAGTGTATAGTAGTGTAGTGTATAGTGTAGTGTATAGTAGTGTAGTGTATAGTAGTGTAGTGTATAGTGTAGTATATAGTAGTGTATTGTATAGTAGTGTAGTGTATAGTAGTGTAGTGTATAGTAGTGTAGTCTATAGTAGTGTAGTCTATAGTAGTGCTGTATTTAGTGTAGTGTATAGTAGTGTATAGTAGTGTAGTGTGTAGTAGTGTAGTGTATAGAAGTGTAGTCTACAGTAGTGTAGTGTATAGTAGTGTAGTGTATAGTAGTGTAGTGTATAGTAGTGTATAGTAGTGTAGTGTATAGTAATGTAGCCTATAGTAGTGTAGTGTATAGTAGTGTAGTGTATAGTAGTGTAGTGTATTTAGTGTAGTGTATAGTAGTGTATAGTAGTGTAGTGTGTAGTAGTGTAGTGTATAGAAGTGTAGTGTACAGTAGTGTAGTGTATAGTAGTGTAGTGTATAGTAGTGTAGTGTATAGTAATGTAGCCTATAGTAGTGTAGTGTATAGTAGTGTATAGTAGTGTATAGTAGTGTAGTGTATAGTAGTGTAGTGTATAGTAATGTAGTGTATAGTGTAGTGTATAGTGTAGTGTATAGTAGTGTAGTGTATAGTGTAGTGTACAGTAGTGTAGTGTATAGTAGTGTAGTCTATAGCAGTGTAGTCTATAGTAGTGTATATTGTAGTGTATAGTAGTGTAGTGTATAGTAGTGTAGTGTATAGTAATGTAGGCTATAGTAGTGTATAGTAGTGTAGTGTATAGTAATGTAGCCTATGGTAGTGTAGTGTATAGTAGTGTAGTGTATAGTGCAGTGTATAGTAGTGTAGTGTATAGTGTAGTGTACAGTAGTGTAGTGTATAGTAGTGTCGTGTATAGTAGTGCTGTCTATAGTAGTGTAGTGTATAGTGTAGTGTATAGTAGTGTAGTGTATAGTGTAATGTATAGTAGTGTAGTGTAGTGTATAGTGTAGTGTATAGTAGTATATTGTATAGTAGTGTAGTGTATAGTAGTGTAGTGTATAGTAGTGTAGTCTATAGTAGTGCTGTATTTAGTGTAGTGTATAGTAGTGTATAGTAGTGTAGTGTGTAGTAGTGTAGTGTATAGAAGTGTAGTGTACAGTAGTGCAGTGTATAGTAGTGTAGTGTATAGTAGTGTAGTGTAAAGTAGTGTATAGTAGTGTAGTGTATAGTAATGTAGCCTATAGTAGTGTAGTGTATAGTAGTGTAGTGTATAGTAGTGTAGTGTATAGTAGTGTAGTGTACAGTAGTGTATAATAGTGTAATGCATAGTAGTGTAGTGTACAGTAGTGTAGTGTATAGTAGTGTAGTGTATAGTAGTGTAGTGTATAGTAATGTAGCCTATAGTAGTGTAGTGTATAGTAGTGTAGTGTATAGTAGTGTAGTGTATTTAGTGTAGTGTAGGGTAGTGTATAGTAGTGTAGTGTGTAGTAGTGTAGTGTATAGTAGTGTAGTGTATAGTAATGTAGCCTATAGTAATGTTGTGTATAGTAGTGTAGTGTATAGTAGTGTATAGTAGTGTAGTGTATAGTAGTGTAGTGTATAGTAATGTAGTGTATAGTGTAGTGTATAGTGTAGTGTATAGTAGTATAGTGTATAGTGTAGTGTACAGTAGTGTAGTGTATAGTAGTGTAGTCTATAGTAGTGTAGTCTATAGTAGTGTAGTGTATAGTGTAGTGTATAGTAGTGTATAGTGTAGTGTATAGTAGTGTAGTGTATAGTAGTGTAGTGTATAGTAATGTAGGCTATAGTAGTGTATAGTAGTGTAGTGTATAGTAATGTAGCCTATAGTAGTGTAGTGTATAGTAGTGTAGTGTATAGTGCAGTGTATAGTAGTGTAGTGTATAGTGTAGTGTACAGTAGTGTAGTGTATAGTAGTGTAGTGTATAGTAGTGTAGTCTATAGTAGTGTAGTGTATAGTGTAGTGTATAGTAGTGTAGTGTATAGTGTAGTGTATAGTAGTGTAGTGTAGTGTATAGTGTAGTGTATAGTAGTATATTGTATAGTAGTGTAGTGTATAGTAGTGTAGTGTATAGTAGTGTAGTCTATAGTAGTGCTGTATTTAGTGTAGTGTATAGTAGTGTATAGTAGTGTAGTGTGTAGTAGTGTAGTGTATAGAAGTGTAGTGTACAGTAGTGCAGTGTATAGTAGTGTAGTGTATAGTAGTGTAGTGTAAAGTAGTGTATAGTAGTGTAGTGTATAGTAATGTAGCCTATAGTAGTGTAGTGTATAGTAGTGTAGTGTATAGTAGTGTAGTGTATAGTAGTGTAGTGTACAGTAGTGTATAATAGTGTAATGCATAGTAGTGTAGTGTACAGTAGTGTAGTGTATAGTAGTGTAGTGTATAGTAGTGTAGTGTATAGTAATGTAGCCTATAGTAGTGTAGTGTATAGTAGTGTAGTGTATAGTAGTGTAGTGTATTTAGTGTAGTGTAGGGTAGTGTATAGTAGTGTAGTGTGTAGTAGTGTAGTGTATAGTAGTGTAGTGTATAGTAATGTAGCCTATAGTAATGTTGTGTATAGTAGTGTAGTGTATAGTAGTGTATAGTAGTGTAGTGTATAGTAGTGTAGTGTATAGTAATGTAGTGTATAGTGTAGTGTATAGTGTAGTGTATAGTAGTATAGTGTATAGTGTAGTGTACAGTAGTGTAGTGTATAGTAGTGTAGTCTATAGTAGTGTAGTCTATAGTAGTGTAGTGTATAGTGTAGTGTATAGTAGTGTATAGTGTAGTGTATAGTAGTGTAGTGTATAGTAGTGTAGTGTATAGTAATGTAGGCTATAGTAGTGTATAGTAGTGTAGTGTATAGTAATGTAGCCTATAGTAGTGTAGTGTATAGTAGTGTAGTGTATAGTGCAGTGTATAGTAGTGTAGTGTATAGTGTAGTGTACAGTAGTGTAGTGTATAGTAGTGTAGTGTATAGTAGTGTAGTCTATAGTAGTGTAGTGTATAGTGTAGTGTATAGTAGTGTAGTGTATAGTGTAGTGTATAGTAGTGTAGTGTAGTGTATAGTGTAGTGTATAGTAGTATATTGTATAGTAGTGTAGTGTATAGTAGTGTAGTGTATAGTAGTGTAGTCTATAGTAGTGCTGTATTTAGTGTAGTGTATAGTAGTGTATAGTAGTGTAGTGTGTAGTAGTGTAGTGTATAGAAGTGTAGTGTACAGTAGTGCAGTGTATAGTAGTGTAGTGTATAGTAGTGTAGTGTATAGTAGTGTAGTGTATAGTAGTGTAGTGTACAGTACTGTATAGTAGTGTAATGCATAGTAGTGTAGTGTACAGTAGTGTAGTGTATAGTAGTGTAGTGTATAGTAGTGTAGTGTATAGCAGCGTCGTGTATAGTAGTGTAGTGTATAGTAGTGTATAGTGGTGTAGTGTATAGTAGTGTAGTGTATAGTAGTGTAGTGTATAGTAGTGTAGTGTACAATAGTGTAGTGTATAGTAGTGTATAGTAGTGTAGTGTATAGTAGTGTAGTGTACAATATTGTAGTGTATAGTAGTGTAGTGTATAGTAGTGTAGTGTATAGTAGTGTAGTGTACAATAGTGTAGTGTATAGTAGTGTAGTGTATAGTAGTGTAGTGTACAGTAGTTCAGTGCCTCCATAGAACCCAACGTGTTCGCTTACCGACCATTCCCCTGTTAACAACATGCTGTTGTAGGTACAGTAAATATTAATGAATGCATTGATTAACCACGTTTCTTTTTAATATAATGTGTATATAATGTTGTTAATATCATTATGTATTAATATCCATTGTTTAAATATTATAAAGTATTTTTTTTTGGGTGGAAAAGGGTAACTTTCGATGCTATCGGAAGGAAATAAGCCTTTAACGTGTATCTCCTATACTCGCTTAACGTCCAAATCACTTAGCGTGTATCTCCTATACTCGCTTAACGTCCAAATCACTTAGCAACCGCTTTCGTGAATCGTGGGACCAATCACCGTCATTAAGAGGGGTTTTAAAGCATTCTCTGCAAGTAGTAATCGTTTTAATCTTAATAATTATTTGTTATCAAACTCATTATTAAGTAATTTAGTCACGTTAATAATAGTATTGTTATTTGGTATTACATTCGTACAATCTTTGTTAAATCCAGGGCAAAAATGATTTAAATAAATTATACTTTACATTTTTACCGTAATACACCCCCTGCATAACACGCATGTCCATGGGAAACTAGACTTGATGCGACGTGATTTGCGCTCGTTTGTACGCGCTGTTTCTTCAGGAACGCGTGACGCGTGATATGCGAGGGACACCCGCATATTCAAAGTGATTTGCGGGTAATTTTTTGTTTACACGTTTTTACACCGCCCACACAATGGCCTACACTTGCTAACGACGTCACGGGGATCTTTAACGTTCACTGCGAAGCAGACGGCGCGTCGTCGTAATAGTATTATGGTAAATACACTGCGGCAGTATTAATCAGGGCGGCCTGCTGGACTCCGACCGCGACTATATGCAACAACGAGGGGCGGGCGCGCTGCCGCTAGGCCACGCCACCGGTCAGCAAAAAGACTGCGCAGTGTCCCCCATCGGTCCCGAGAACAGCAACGTTCTTGCCATGACAATCAGCACCACGACCGTCATCATCTCGGCTCACGTCAGCGACGGCGCCGCGAACAACAAACAGCGTCATCATCATAATCATCGTCATCACCATCATCATCATCAGCGTCGTGACCTACAATCAGGGCCGGATTAAGGCACGGGGAGCCCAGGAGCCTCCGCCAGCTGGAGGGCCTCCAGAGAAAAAGTTATTTAATTTGTGAATGCTGAATTTCATTTGTTGTTAGCCTTGTAAAAATGCATTTTATTTTTATTTAACTTTGTTTTCCTTTTGAAAATATTACTGGGGGGGGGAGGGGGGGGGGCTCACAGTACCTGTAGCCCAGGGGCCTACAAAATCTTAATCTGGCCCTTCCTACAATACTTAGCCTCAGCAACACCACAAACACCAGAACTATACCTCTAATACCGTGAGTGATAGCGCAATCGCCGTTCTGAACAATAACACTGCGCAGTGTTCCTGCTCACCAATTCAAATACCAGGAGAAGCAAGAGTACCACCACCGGTACCACCAGCTCAGCTTACCACCACCAGTACCGCACCATCAAACCCTCTCTCATTCACCCTCCTGGGCTTCTCTGTTAGACTATTCAATAATTACTCTCTGGTTCTTTCGGTAAAGTCACGTAGATAGAAAAAAGAATGAAAACAAATTATACCAACGTGACTTTCACGAAAGCTTCAAATCAAGATATTCAATAATGCCCTGCAGGGCATATACATATCTATCGTATGTTATAAGATGTAATATATTTAAAACAAAAAAATCTAAGTCGGGCTGGAATTGACATGTGAGCGAAAACGCACAAAAAAGTTACCTAGAATCGAGTTTTCTAAACAGAATTAAATTAAGATCCCGTCACATCATTCGCAAGCGCGGGTCGCTGTGTGTCGGCGAGACGCTTGGTACCCCTACTGCTGGTGCAGCGTGGCTCTTAGCACCAGCAAAGAGGCAGTGTCTCCACTTCTGCTGTTGCTACTGGTGTTGTTCTGCTGGTGGTGCTACTGGTGTGTGTACTGCTGGTGTTGATAGTGCCCCCCCCCCGTTGCCCCCCACGGCTCACCTGCCCGCCTTGGTGACGATCATCTCGTTGGTGAGTTCGCTGAACCTCTCCCAGAGGTCGCGCTCCTCGAGCGCCACGCGCAGTTCGCGCTCCGTGGGGTCGCCCTTCTCGCTGCCCGCGCGGGACTCGCGCTCCACGGCGCTCAGGAGGTGCTCGAGGCGCGGGGACGATGCCGCGGCCACCGCCGCCGCCTCGGCGCTCAGATCACCGGCGGAGCTCATCGCTGACGATGTCGCCGCCGCCGCTGATGATGCTGCTGCTGCTGATGATATCGCTGCTGATGATGATGTCGCTGCTGATGATGATGCCGCTGCTGCTGATGATATCGCTGCTGCTGCTGATGATGCTGCTGATGATGATGCCGCTGCTGATGATGATGTCGCTGCTTCTGCTGCTGATGATGTCGCTGCTTCTGCTGCTGATGATGATACCGCTACTGCTGATGATGCCGCTGCTGCTCCTCGTGCTCTGCTGTTGCTGTCTCCCTGCGGGGACCGAAGACGCAGCCGTGGCTTCAGGCGTGACGACACCAATACCGCCTCCACTGCCTCCACCTCCGTGGGTTCACGGCGATATTACGAGTGAAACGCTGCCACAACCGAAGGCCCTCCCGCTCTTTGCTGCTGCTACTGCCAATGTAATGATCTCCCCCACGGTTTGGATCGCAGGCCGATCGCCACTGAAAGTTCTGAGATGTGATCTCTATAAAGACAAAGGATCCTCCCCTCCCCCCCGCCCACCGTATAGCCTTAACAGACTGTTGGGGCAAGTGCTGTTAGTCGCGGTTATCAGCCACGAAGGTCGGCAAACGGCACACGAGGAGGTGGGTGGATTTGTCCGGAACGCACGCAGCCGTAGCTCAGGTCTACCAACTCCGCGAGGCTGCATCTGCTCCCCCACTCAGAAGATACGTAATATCGTGGGTATATCTTAAAACGTCACTGAATACACCGATGCTGCGAGTGGATCACACAAAGTGCCCCTGACGTAGAAATATATTTTTTAAATATTTAAAACAAAAATTCAAAGTCTGGCTGGAATTGACATGTAAGCGAAAACACACACACACAAAGATAACGTAGAAACGAGTTTGCTCGAGATAATTAAATGAAGATCCCGTGACATCATTCGCAAGCACGAGTCGTTTGTGTGTCGGCGTGACGCTTGGTTAACCCGTACCGCTGGTGCAGTGTGGCTCTTTCAGAATCAGGATTTTTATTTATACGGGAGGAATCCTATGGAGCTCTATGAAGCTATTTGTGTCGCAGAGAGGTATCATGTCCACATCGACAACAGCACGCACACTTACTCAATGTCCCATACAAGCGGACTAAGTTCGTATCGCAGTGAAGTACTGACCGGTGTTATTTTCGACAATGGGAAAACTTTCCACCGCGTACTAAGTTCTAAAGTCGCTGCTCTTTACAGGCACATCCACTCACGTCGAGATATCTGATGTCACGTGCAGCTGGCAAGACGGCTGGAGCGAATAACGTGCACCGGTCTATGCAGAATCTGTATCCGTACTGGGGGAATCTGATGAGCTATAAAGCTCTTTTTCACGGATGTCCAGTAGGTGCACGGGGTAAGAACGCGACAACAAGAACGTTACAAAAAGGTAGCACACCGCCCATAGAGCCTGGCACAGACTCGACTCTGATCGACTGTCTGAATCGTCACAATATAAGTGGACATCGTATATTTGTAGATAATATATTTGTATATAATTCACGGCCTATGCCGTAACGTGCAAACACTATCCTTATTACAAATATCTATGGCCGCACGTAAAATAAAAAAACCCACAAACAATAAAGCTGTAGAATATTTAAACCCTACCGGCCGTTCCGTTCAACTCCCTGCGTACTCGATTTGTAGACCCCCCCGCGGAGGCAACGCGTCTCTGTGCAAAAACACAACCCCCTATATATTGAGATATAACATCCACCACACGCTACCTGGCACCTGACATAAGCCACCGGTGACACAGCCTCCTAGACGGACGCACGCAAACCCTCACACCGTCTATTAACTCACTCAGTCGTGTGCTGTTTCCGTGACGAGTGTGTGTGTGTCTATGTGTATAAAAGATGTAAGAGCCGGACTCACAACCACCTACCTTTATGGTGTGTGTGTGTATATATATCTGTAGATTTGTAGAGAGAGTGGGAAAAAAAAACCCCACACCGACACACGAGCTCCCCGCGTGTAGAGGCAGACACGCACAGAGCGCCCTGCAGTGTCCCAAGGGTGGGTGGCTGATGGTGAGTGAGTGACTCTGGGGGTGGGTGCTGATTGTGGGTTGGGAAGCACGGGGCTCCACGGATGTTCCCCTATTATACGGCGCGATGCCCGTGCGAATGCAGCCGCCGGATTGGATCGCGGCGAACTCGCTTTCAAGTCGCCTCTCTTTGCATATTAAAGTGCTGCGCTGATTTAAGCGCGAATTAGCGAAGTCTCCCTTCATCAGCCAGGCCCCCCTCGACCCCAGTTGATTTCGTTTGTCTTCTCCTTTCCGGCCCCGCCGTCTTGAGCGAGGCACAGCGAGAGCGACGTCGTTGCCTTAACGAACTCCACTCGGTCCGCGCACACAGTCACGGGGAGAGAAGTCGAGAGAACATCCCCCCCCCAACCCCCGACTATGCGCTTCGTGAGAAGTCGACGCGAACGCCTACCCATCAGCGAGCGCGTCGCCCCTTGTGGCGTTACGCGCCCGGCGCTATGAAGGCAGCAGCTGCTCCATTGAGTTTGTCGTTGTCCCTCTGATGCTGACTTGCTTTGGCCGTACCACGTCGGCCGTGCTCGATCCACTGCTGGATGAAAATGCCCCCCCCCCTCCTCCTCCTCCCCACCAAAGCCGCAGCCACTTCTCGCGATCCTGCGACGGTGACTGGTAAGCCATCCACCCAGCAGATGAGCGCGTTACGGTCCTGTAGCTGCAACTCCGTTATGATTCTCGACCATGAGCAAGACGTGGTCTTGTCCAAGCCCACTCGCTCGTTAAGCTCCCGTTGCTTCTCGACAGAGTTGAATGTGGCCGCCCCGAGACAGCTGTTATTATTTTAAACGTACCCGTTTAACGTCTAAGTCGCTGGGTTATCGATAGCAGCACACGTCCGTGCATAAACGCATGCTGTGCGCAGATAATACTTCATCTATACTGCGCCTCGGGCAAAAGGGGTTATTCACAAGCCATGATCTATCCACTGCTGAACCAAGGTCACCCGAAGTCATCGCCATCTCTTTCGCCATCTCACGATCCCGCGATGCAACAATTCATTTGGCGCAACAATGATGGGGGCCGTCCATGGTGGGGTGGGGGGGGCCCCTTCGACGCCTTTCGCACCAAACCGAAAGTATCACTTCTGATACCGGAAGACACGGGACGGTCGCCCCGATTCGCCGCACCCGTAAGAGGAACGCCTCTGCGTGGCCATACACAGGAGTTGACACAGTGGTCTTCGCACTTTCGCCGATAAGACATCATCAGCGTAAGGGCCGCCACACCGCCTGTTTTGACATGTTGTGTGTTGTCGTGGGGTGGGGGGGGGGGGCGCACTAAAGGCCACCAGGGCCTTGTAATGAAGAACACTGAGTTCTCGAGCGCGTTCCGTCCCTCGGCTCTCGATTCCGTCGTTAAGTCTCGAAGGTTCGGCCACCGCTCCATCTCGAGACGCGGTGCCTGCTCCAAGCCACACTCACTTTTATTAACGTCCACAATTGGGTTTCTGCGACGTGCGTATTTGTTCCCCAATCGCGTGTGCTCCTCGACATGTCTCTAAACCAAACTAAACGTTTTATTATTGTTTTACCAGGTAAGGCCCACTGAGCTACATAGCTATTTTTCGGAAGCGACCCGGCTATCACGAATAATAGCTCAACGATAAGTGGCTGATCATCGTGTGGATATTCAGACCAGACAAATACTCGAAGGGCATGTTGATTCTAATTGTGAAGGAAAGACGGGAGGACGCGGATAAAAACCAAACGCGACCACGGGGAGAGAGAGTGGGAGAGAGAAAGACTCACTCCAGATATACAGAAGGCGTCAGCATCGGGTTCGAACCCACGACCTCCTGCATACCAAGCGAGGTAGTTAACAAGCTGGGAAGGGCGCAAATAAGCATGTGGATGTTCACGCTTTTTAGGAATGAGACTCAAAACATTAGGTAAAAAGTGATGGGAGGTTTTTTTTATCGTGTGTTTTATGAATGAGGCCAAATGACCGAAACGTCTAACTCTTCGTTTCCTCTCAATAGTAAAAAAACGTGTTGTGTTTCAGATGATAGCTTTGAACAGAATGCATTTCATTTCACTCAAGTAGCAACATCATACCTATCTAAATCCCACAGATGAATCATATAGATCAGGCAGGCATTTAGGACAGTGATCCTTATTTAGCCTATTACCATATTCTCCGGATTATAAGACGCTTCGAAAAGTATTAGACGCTGTCCAAACTTGTGCGCAATGTTTTACAAATCTCGCCTCACACAAAGACAAAGGATCCCCCTTTATCCTTTCCATAATCTTGGGGCAAGTGCTGTTAGCGAGCACCTATGAAGGGCCGGAACGGTACACAAGGGGGTGGGTGGCCAACACCACACCCGGCCGCCTTTGTCTCCCTAGTAGCGATGTTTACACACCGCACCAGGTGCTCATTTGAGGCTGAGTCGGCCTAGGGGAGGGAGGCCCAGAACAGGTTCAGATAATCGTCACCGGTGTTGTTCGTGAGTGGGAATCGAACCCAGGTTGCCGCTCCCCCACCACCACACACGCGCACAGCTACCGGATTATAAGACGCACCCCGACAACTGCTTCTTTTTTTTTAATACAGGAGCGAGAGTTTTAGTGGGTGGGACACCACACAAGTGCGTCGTATAATCGGCACAAAACGGCCACCCATCCATGCGTCTTGTGCTGTTGAGGTGGCGGCGGCATTGGTGACAAATTGGTGACCATTTAAGGCCACTGGCGGAGCCAGTGGGGGTGGGGTGGCACGTGCCCCCCCATGATCCGATAGAAATCCCTCATTTTGATCGGTTCATTGAGGTTTATTAGTAATAAATCGGTAGTTTGCGACCCCCCACTGCCACTGTGTAGCATATTATTACATGCCAGGGACTCTATGAGATAATAGGACAATAGTCTGAGTCCATAATGGCAATAAATAACGGCAAAGCAGTTATAAGTGACTCACAGAATTGTGCGCAGTCGCGTGTACAGAGTCCACGACTTCCCTGAAGGCATCAACACCTTCAGCGAGCGCGATGCCGATCACACAACGCGGTTCCA